ATATATATGTAGATATAAATAAAGGGGGACAGGGCTGGGAATTTAGTTCAGTGGTGCCGCTGCCTGCCTTGCAAGTGGAAGGTCCCGAGATCCTCAGCCAAAAAGGTTTGGGGGGCAAGCTCTCTCTATGTTGCTCAGGCTAACCTTGAACTTGTAATCCTCCTGTCTCAGCCTACTGAGCTTTGAGACTAGCTCAGGTGCACACTACAGTGTCTGGCTAGCAATAATATTTTAAGACGCTAACTGAGATTGAACAAATTAATTCCTCTAAGCATCAGCTCGCTCCTCTGTATGATGGTAATAAAAATTTGACCTTTCTCAGACAACTGGGATGAGAATTGAAATAAACATGTAAAGCACTTAGCATGTTATCTGTTACCTAGGAAGGGCCCATGCTCGCGAGTGTGTGTGTGTGTGTGTGTGTGTGTGATAAATGAGGTTAAAACAGGCAACCACTGCCCTGACTTCTCTCACTACAGAGACAAGTTTTGTCTGCTTTTGTACTCCATAGACAGTGAATCTCTCTATATCCTTGTTAGTGTCCAGATTTTGGGGGTTGACACTGTAGGCCGATCTGTGTCATTAGCTGCAGTTGTCTTCGCGTTCACTCTCTTTGCTGAACATTATTTTGTAGTGTGAATATATCACATTTTCTTCATCCTGTTGATGATGGCATTTGGGGAGTCTTGGCCACTGTAAATAGTGTAAATAGTGCGTATTCGAGGATGCATCTTTTGGTGAACATGGGCACATATTTCTTTTGGGCACAAACTTAGTAGTGACATAGCAACAAAGGAGCCTGAGGAGGAGCCACTCGGGGGTAGGAGTCACGTGGGGAAGTGGGGAAAAGCAGAAGCCAAGGGAAGAGGGTTTCATGAAAGGAGTGTCCAGTCTGTCAGGTCATTTGTTTTGCTTTCTTTTTCAAACATGTTCTGTCTTCATAGCCATCATCGTATACAGACTGCCATGGACCTGGAAATGCAGCAAGTTTCTGATGAAATCCATCCACGCGGGGTTAAACACCGTTGCTGCCATTCTTGTGATCATCTCCCTGGTGGCTGTTTTTGATAACCGCAAGGCCAGGAACATCCCCAATATGTACAGTCTGCACAGCTGGGTTGGACTGATAGCTGTCATACTCTATTTCTTACAGGTGAGTGTCAGTATATTTATGAAATATAAAAAGTAAAGCAATTCAGAGACTATTGAGGTTTTCTAAGCATTCTTTACAACTTTGCTTCTATTACAACTTTTCTGCGAAGTGGACACTGGAATTGCCGAATTCATAGTCTGTGAGTTGGAATGTGATATTTAAAATATTGACATCTGTAAGTAAGGAAATTGCCTTCTCCTAACATGTAGACGGCCTTGCTCAGACCTTAGGTTCCATGTGCTGACTTTAGGTTCTACCAGTATATGCAAAACTGTAGATTTCTCTTCCATGCTCTCTACCACTTTTCTAGGTTTACTTTTATAAGGGAAGAGATTATAACTTTTTGCTAGATTTCAAAGACACAGTGACTATTTTCCCATTATTCACCCTTTTCTTGTTAAAGGCACACAACCTGAGAGTACTTTAAACCTAATTTTGTAGAGTGTAATAGGCAGTTGGCTGTCCCAGGTCACTGAAATAAAAGTTAATGAGAGTCTTTTGGGTATTCAACTTCATTGAAAAATCTTGGTTCATTATATTGATTTACTTCCCTTCCTTTAGTTAGTATAGTATATACTCAGCTACTTGATTGGAACATCACTGTGAACCTTACTTGTCTATGGGAGATAAGTGGTGTAAAACACTGGAGTGACCCACAAAACCCTAAGGCTTATCCTTTATACGGCTCCCTATAAAAACAGAACCTCTTAGCAGGCAGCTGTCATTTTTCTTCTTCTGAAAGAAAAGTTTCCAAACTTTAAAGCTTACTGAGTTATTTAAGTTTGTGAACGCAGACATGAAGGTAGGGATTGGGAATGAAAAGGAGTTAGACAGAAGGGAGGCACAAACAAAACACTGTATCAACCATAATCTTCCCAATCAAGAAAGAACAAAGAAAATTTCTGTAATTGGATAGCTGAGCGCAGCTCAGATCACCTGTCCTTGGGTTAATTTTTTGCTTGGTATTTTCAGCCTCTGGTTCGCATCTGGGAGGCGTTTTCTTCCCTGCTGCTCCTCTTCGAGAGAAGGATGGCCGGAGCAGGGCCACTAAGGCCTGCCAGTTGCTCTGGGCACCTGTGTGGATACAGGCATCTCTGCAGTTCTCCTTTCATCATTGTTCTTCTTTGAGGCTTCAGTTACCCTGGCTTTGCCTCAGTTTCCTGCACCCTGTCAACATGCAGTGTGCTGCCTTAGCCAGTGCCCTGGGCGGCACTCTGCATATCTCTCTCGTTCATCTGAGGGAGAAATCCCGCACTGATGCCAACGGCACAGCAGGAAATAATAACCTTCCCAGAGTTACCCAGCCACGGCAGAGCTGGGGCTCAGGTCCCGGTCTGTCCAAGTCCTGACCTTCCCCATCTGTACTTCATTCCATGGCTTGCACGATTTCCCCACAATTATCCAGTCTGTGTTTTGAGTCTGTGTTTGAGCACCCTTAGCAGAGACCCCACATCTCCCGGCCCAGTTCATCCATGGCTTTCTGTGAAGCTCTTCATAGGTTGTACATTTTCAGTTTACTGCTGTCTGGATCACCTAGATTGCAAAAAAGTACACCAGCTCTTTGCCTCTGAGTGAATAATTTAAAACAGACTAAATAAAATGCCTATTTTGAGTTAGCTGTATGCCAAGGCATTCTCGGAACATCTGGAAGGATATGTGCCCAAAATATTAAATGTGATTATTTGTAGTTGGCTACATGCTAGTTGATTAATTTTTCTTTTTACTTTTTATATCTAATATTTCTTCAACATATCTATTTCTTGCATAATAATAATAAAGCATAAGTAAATAGTAAAATGAATCAATCAATAAATAATAGATTTTCTGTACCAGGCATGTCTTTTAATTCTGGATCACTAAAAGCCTATTGTACTCTGGTCTACATGTTAATTTGTAAAATTAAGGGATATTGAGGAATTCACAAAAAAGAGAATACTTATTCTAAACTGTATGGCTCTCAATTTGATTCTCAGAGGAATATAAATTTTTAAAGGCCTTCTTAAAAAGAAAAACTTAAAATACAGAAACTAATCACTAAAGAAACTAAAAGAAAACAGCAGGAAAATAAATTAACAAAGACAAAAAAAATCCATGAATAATTTTTTGGTGTCCTGTTGTTGTCACAACACATTACCACACATTTAATGCCATATGAAAACACAAACTTACAACCTCCCAGACAGAAGTCCAGGTTGGTTTGCTTTCTCTGCATAGATCTAACAAGGCCTAATGCAAGGCTCTTGTTGGGCAAATCTAGGATAGAATTAGCTTCCAAGCTAATTGAGGCTGATGGCAGAATCTAAGGCCTTGCAGTTTATAGGACCAAGGCTCTTATTTCTTTGCTGGTTGTCAGATGCAGGTTACCCTTTGCCCTGTCATCTTCTCTCTGTTCCTTGTCCATGGCCCCCTCTCACTAAGCAATGGAGCATCATATCCATCCCACCGGCTTGGAATCCCTATGATTTCTCTTGCTTCTTCCTCTTTTCCTCTTCTCTTCAACCCAACCAGAAGGAGTTCATACGGGTAGATTGGAATGACTCAGTCCAGGTTTATCTCCCAGGTGTAAGACATTAATTATATCTATGAAGTCTCTTTTGTAATATTGTATAATATGTTCACACCATCCAGGAATTATGGCATGGACAACTTGAGGAAGGGCATTATTTGGCCTACCAAGACTTTAAATAAAAAAGAAAAGAAAATATAAGTGAAATAAAAGCGAGTGCATTAAAAATATAATAAGCCATGGCAAGCTTAATTAAGTAAAACCAAAATGGCTTAGGGGCAGAGCATGTACTTAGCATATGAGAAGTCCTGAGTTCAATTCCTAGCACCCACAAAAGTTATGTAGATATAAAAATATTGAGTTCACATATTTTTGTGTATCTTTGAGCTTAATACATAAGTGTCTAAATTAAGCATGGTGAATTAAAATATATTTTTTTACTTTCAAGTAGAGTTAGTATTTGTGTAGTTTTTGTTTAGTCTTTACAATTTGGAGGTGTAAGCCACTACATTGTTAATTAGGATTTTGCCACTACTTTTGTTTTAAATTTCTGGTGTGTATATGCTGTATTCTGTGTAACAAGATATTTTTAAATTTGCCATATTTTATATTAAGATAAATATTTTCAGAACTTGTGAACATGTTTTTGACAGTTGATTTGTTTTCATACAACTTGTACATGAGCATGATGTTTCTTATATCATGACAAGATATCTGCTTATATCCCAACATTATATATATCATGTACCTAACTTTGCCTATTTTCTTTCATATTGAAGCTAATACTACTTTAAAAAATCATATAGATAGATATAGATGGTAATATACTTAAAAACCTTAAAGGAAAAAAAAGGATTATTTTCTTGCAAATAAAAACTACCAGATTTGATCCAAGAAGAATTATAGCTTTTACAGACCAACAACAGTAAGGTCATATGAAATCTGTCACTTACAAAAGACATCTTGTCTGGATGGTTTTAAGGAACAAGTACTTTAACCTATCTCTTTACACTGGAAGAGAGCAAACTCCTTCTAAATGTGGCCCCATTATGTACTACTCATTTGCGCACCTACAGACGGTAGCTCTGATTATAAGCATCTTTACCAACATCTATAAGCATCTTTAGCAAACATCAGATTAAACGGAACTACTTAGGATCTTTCCATCAAAATCACGGGCAAGACACTAATTCTTGCTACGATTGTCATTCAGCTTTACAGTAGAGATTTTAGCTAATGTATAAGATAATGGGAAAAATCTGTTTAAATAATAAGAGAATCTGTGATTAGAGGTCTAAATATAAAAGCCAAAGCTAATAAAGAGAGAAAAAGAAAATTAAGAAATATATAATCTGGCCAGGCGTGGTGCTGCAAGCCTGTAATCCCAGCACTGGGAAAGCTGAGGCAGAAGGATTGCTACAAGCTAAAGGCCAGCTTGGGTTATGCAGTGATCACAAGGCCAGCTTGAACTACAGAAAAACCCAACCAAACAAACAACAACAACAACAAAAAGAAATATATAATCTGTATTGAGCTGGATGTGGTAGCGCATGCCTATGATTTCAGCACTTAGGAGGCTGGTGTCAGGTAGATCACCAGAAGCTCAAGCCCAGCCTGGCCTGCAGAGTAAGTCCAAGGCCAGCCTGAACTACATAGTAAAACTCTGTCTCAAAAAAAGAAGGAAATATATAATCTGCATAACATAAGACAGGGGAGGCCATACATTGGTTGAGAAGAAAACCAAAAGCCATAAAGGAAGTATATATTAAAATAACCATAAAATAGTGGTTTTTCTCTTATAAGATTGACAAACATCCCAGTAATGCTCACTGCTGGCCTGGTGGCAGGAAAGAGTTTTCTTACACTGAAATGGGAAACCACACAATAATGGAATATGGGGGAAATGATATCCTAACCTCTAGTGATTACTCTTTGACCTGGTAATCCCACATTATGGGCTTCCATGGAACATTGCACAGACTAGAAGTGGGCAGCAATTTTGTCAGTATGGGAACAGTTCGATTATTTGTGGAAAATTCATATTTTTGGATATTATACAGCTGCTACAAAAAATGTAGGTATAGTTATTGACTAAGGGAAAAATTTATAATATGTTCTACAGTATAAAAACACCAAGCCAGGCCCAACAGGGCACACCTGTAATTCCAGCACTCTGAGAGGCCAAGGCAGGAAGCAAGTTGGAGGTCAGTTTGGGCAACTTAGTAAGACTGTCAAAACTTTAAAAAAAATTGTTTAAAGGGCTGGGGATGTGGCTCAGTGGTGGAATGCCCCTGGGCTTGATCGCTGCAGAAAGACTCAGAGAGGCAGAGACAGAGAGAAGGGAGAGGAAAGGAGAGGAGGAGAGAAAGAAAGAACAAAAGAAAAGAAAAGAGGGAGAGAAGGAAAGAAAGAGAGGGAGAAAGGAAAGAAGGCAAGAAAGAAGAAAGAATAAAAGAGAGAGAAAGAAAGAAGGAAAGAAAGAAAGAAAGGGAAG